ATATATACATGTAATATACATGTCTAGCATGCACATAGGGAAACATACATATTAGCCGAACATGCACATACCGAAACACACATAATATAACAAAAAACACACACATAGAGAAACATGCATAATATAGCAAACACGCAAATAGCATAACACGCATAATATAATGAGACACGCACATAACGAACACGCACCGCACGTAGCGAACATGCACATAGCAAAACACGCACAGCACACATTGCGGAACACGCACGTAGGGAAATATGCACATGGCGTAACACACCCATAGCGAAACATGAACATAGTGAAGCACGTATATAGCCAGCCAAATAGATTTTCAAGTCCAAATGGGTTTTTTTCTACTTTTTGTATATATATTCTTTGCATTCAAAATATGTACATTGCGAAATTTTTACATTGCAAAAATATTTTCGCGTCAATGAAGTCAAAGAGACCGACATTTTTCCGCTCGTTGGCCAATATTTGTTGAGTTTTTGTTGTTTTTTCTTTGTTGGTTTTTTTTTTCAACACCTTTGATGTCAACTTTAAAAAACACATTTATGTATGGATTTAGCTTTAAAAAAAAGCAACCAAACACTGATCAAACGTGCAAAAAATGTATATTTGTAGTTTCCAAAGACAAGTAGGGTTGTGGGTTCAAATCCCATGTGGAACATGGTTTTGTGCCCTTAGGAAAGACACTTTTATACAAATTTTTCTCACCTCACCCAGGTGGGAATAAGCACATTGTACCTGGCTATGGACAGCGACAGATCTTGTCAATTTGTTAGTGTTTGAGTGTGTATAAACTGCAGCTCGCACTGTTTGCTTCCCTGGAAGCCGAAAATGTTTCTGAGTGTTCTAGGGTCAGTTATTATTTTTATTACATTTTTATTATTATTATTATTGTTGTTGTTGTTGTTACTATTGTTATTTTTATAATTATTGTTATTATTGTTGTTATTGTTATGATCTTTATCAGTGTTCACTGTTTGCAGGTGAAGTCGCTCATCTCCCAGACTCTGGACACATTTGGCCAGCTAGACTTTGTGGTCAACAACGGGGGCGGTCAGTTTGTGTGTCCGGCCAAAGACATCTCGCTCAAGGGCTGGAACGCTGTGGTGGACACGAATCTCACCGGAACCTTCCTTATGTGTAGAGAGGGTGAGTGTGTGGGGTTCGGGGG